AACCCCCCCCCCCCCCCCCCCACAAACAAACACAATAAATAAATAATAAATAAAAAATAAAAATTTCGCGTAACACGTAATGATTACTGATTATTCTAACCAGCACTGTCATTCTTAAAGTAGAATGCTTGTGATAGAATAAGATTACTCTTCATGATCCATTTTCAGAATAAGTCACCTTACGATCTTCTTTAAAAAAAACATTACTCCTCAAACCTTGTTACCAAAACTTCGTATATATTTTGATCACATGGCAGCAAAACCAAAACCCTTATGACCGACACGTGTAGTTGGCCAATTATAAACCGGACAAAAAGGTGACGGCGAGATCGCCCCGTGAGCAATGTGTTTTGTTTGCATTTACAACTCACGATCGACAGAGAACCTTAAAAAAAATTAAAAAAAAACACGCACACACACACAGACGATGCCTCTTGCTCTCTCAAACTCATGAACCCCACACACTCACTCGTTTGCTCTCTCACGCCCAAACAACCCTCCTCTTTGACGCCTTCGATGCTTTCGATGGCGCCCCCGATCACGAGCAGATTCCCTCTCCATCTCCGCGTTACCCCACTCTTTTTCAACTTTTCTCTCTCGATCTCCAATATAAATACAAAACAACAAAAATGTGACCGTATATAATTCTAGTTAATTAACTAATTAATTAATTGCTACTACAATTATTGCAGGTGCTTGTCACTAGCATTTGTGCTCTAAGGCTTTGTTTGGCAACTCCCCGCTGTTTAGGTTCTTATCTCTGGTTTGGGAAAAATAGGGTCAAGACTGAATCTGGTTTGATCAGTATGTATATATTTGGGCTTATACCAAATCGGGTTGAGGACTTAGCCAAGTCCTAGTTAATGGGGGAGGTGCCTAATACAACCTCAGTCTTGCTTTTGAACCTATTAGGGCCTGTTTGGATTTGTAGGGGGTGAAGGGAAGTTAAGAGAAACTGAGAGAAGAGAAGGGAAGAGAAGAGAAGGGAGTTCCCTTCCCCTTGGTTACACCCCAATTTGGGGTATAACAAATTTTATACTATTAGGGGGTGAACCAAGGGGAACTAGGGTGAATTAACTTCACCTTCTAAGTGTTCCCAAAGGGGTGAACCAAGGGGAACTAGGGTGAATTAACTTCACCTTCTAAGTGTTCCCAAACAAGGTGAATGGAAGTGAATGGTTCCCCTAACTTCCCCCAAACAAGGTGAATGGAAGTGAATGGTTCCCCTAACTTCCCTTCACCCTCATTCCCCTCAATCCAAAAAAGCCCTAATTTACATGTCAAATACATAGCACTATAAACCTAGCTAGAGCTGACCCCTGCATATTTGCACTCAAGCTAACTCTGTGGCAAAAGTTGAATTAGTGCATTTCATGTGTGGGAATGTTAGTAATTTCAGCTCTATAAACATACATTCAATCATATAAATATATGAGATTAATGGGTATCCTTGTCATAGGAGAGGATTTCCTCCTTGACGCCTATATGGCATAATCCCCACCATTCTCACAGAGAGAGTGTGAGTTGGTAGGGATTTGTGCCTACTTTATGAGGATGGTGGGGATTGTGCCACATAGGCGACAAGGAGGGAAATCTCCTCCTATAACAATGATACCCATTAAATCTCTAAATACGTAGTGCATTTCATGTGTGGGTATTTTACTAATTTCAGCTCTATAAACATAAATTTGCACTCTAGCTAACTCTGGCAAAAATTGAATTAGTACATTTCATGTATGGGATCAAGAGATGATAAAATAAAATGACGTGGAATGTGACATTAGGGTTTGAGACATTGACTGTAATCTTCGTTGATTGTTAGCGGACCCTGACAGACTTATACTTGAAGAGTGTAGGTAATTGCATTTGATTGTAATCTGGAAGCGTTTTCTCTGTTTCTTACGTTGTTTCTTTTGCCAATCTGTGGTTAGTTTTTCTTTCGTTGTTGCTAATAAAAAGATCCTTGTTTTATGCCGTAGCAAGTTGTAGGATATTTAAGAAAGTTTGTATTAATGTTAGGGTATGGACGTACATCTGTAAGTTTTGCAAACATCAAACTTTACAGTTCCGTTAACAATCATAAATAAGATTTTTCTTTCTAAACTTTTTAGATCGTTTAGTCGTCCGTTGACTCTATCTCATGTTTGTCTGGCGATTGTAACTTGTTCGTCACTCGATTTCTAGTTGACCTTAGTTTCCTGACTATATATATTATAGGCCCTTGTTAATATAATCCACTTCTTAGAGTTCGATATATTATAGTCCGTAAACTGAGTACTTATGGAGATTGCAGAATCGTATGATATACGTCTGTAGCTGCCGGCCCTGGGGATGTGAGTGCTGATGACTCGTTGCTTCTTCAACCCGTTAGCTCTGATTCCGCATGTGAGCTGGATTCTAATTCCTCAGTGTTTTGCGTTGCCCGATTCGCTTAACCTCATCGCCTCGTTGGCTTCAGATAAGTTTTGTGTGGTTTGTTGCTGGGCTGTGCTAAGTGAGCATCTATAAGCTCTCAAATTTTCATCTATTACTCACTTTACCAGTCAATCCATATGGTTATATCGACCGAATTTCCCATGTGTAGTCTAGTGCCGAGGACAACCCACGGTACCTCATATACCTCTCGCGATATTGTTTTCAATTTGAGCGTTGAGTTATGGCGGAATATATCAACCTCGAGGAGTGACCAAGCAAACAAAAAACTGGCGTCTATGGAGCAGAATATCAGGATATAGGTGCGGCCTACGGATTCACTCAGCTGAGCGGCGGCGTGCTTTTCCATTGTTCTCTCTATCACGCGCATGGCTACTTGATCTTTACCGCAGGTGCCAACTGTTTCCTTGAGCCCTACCAACCCTATTACGCGTTATGACTGCCAATTGGGTATGATCAGTTGTAACGTTGGGAACCCTCGCTCCTTGAGCTCTCAGTCGATGGGCAACGTATTCATGAAGGGGCCAGGGCTTAGGTACTTATTCTATGCAGCGTTTAGTACAAAGGATCTCAGGCTTCCCCACAAACGCCATATCCTACCCACTTCCATGAGCTTCTTGCAATTGGTATTTTGCCCCTCTTAGACTCCCAATTACAACGTTGAAACATCTTGCCTGAAGCACATCAGGCATATGTATGCTTAAGGCAGAGGCCGTCTTAAAAATATGTTTTCGCTCTGAGAGGGTATCGGTACACAGCTTTCTATCTATTTGGCATAGAAACTCGTTCTTTGTCTGCTCAGGCAGCTGATATTAAAGATGGAAACATAGAAGCTGAGCCTATGTTTATCTTATATGGTTAGGTAATAGAACAAGTGGTTGATTTATCTCCACAACGAGAGCTTGTGAGTAGGAATAAAGTAAATACTCTCTGCGGATGAATATACTCCAGTATAGTTGATATACTGTACATAAGTCAGATTTCTCATGAGTCAGAGTTTGATGGATGGTGTATATCGAGCTCTCTTCGTCTCACTTAAGAATGTGGGCGGAGTCATATCAACTCTCCCAACGTGTGATGACAGTCGGTCTTAGATAAATCCATACTTTCGATTGAGCGACATTATGGAGCATGGATCCGTGACGTCCTGTGTGAACTTGATCATAAGCATCAATTATGGCTAAAAATCTTCTCGAATTGCGCAGCCAACCGTTGTGGTGATCGCATACGTAGAGAGTGTTGGCGCCTCCGTTCTCATACTAGTCGCCCGCCCAGCTGAAATATTCTATATCATTCGCAAAACCGGCGTTAAAATTGAGTGGACGTGTGTGAGGTGTGTGCTTCATTATCTCTTTACGGGCTTCACCCCTAACTTTCCGCCCCGAGGAATGTGTTGCGGGTTTTGTAGAATATGTAGATCAAGTTCAACGGAGCGGATCATCCAACATGTCGCTCAATCATGTGATTTTAGAGGCGTCATAGGAGAAATTCCCCTCCTATGACAAGGATACCCATTAATCTCTCTCTCTCTCTCTCTCTCTCTCTCTCTCTCTCTATATATATATATATATATATATATAATATATATATATATATAATATATAGTATATATATAATATTTATATGGGCGGGTTTTGATATTTACCCAAAAATAAAAATTTGACAGTGTATATACTTCTTTAATTAATTAATTGTCACTACAATTATTGCTAGCGCTTGTCATTACCAATGGTGCTAAACCCCTTGTTTTATGCCAAAGCAAGTAGTAGGCTAAAGGGGAATTTTTGATGTGTACATGTTGTTGCATTTTGCAAATTGCAATATGTATATATATAGAAGTACTTGTAGTTTTCTTGACTGAGTTGGGCTTTCTTTTTTCATTCGATTTTGTTGATATGTGGAGCAAGAGAATGTTTGGGGCTCAGAATAATGTGAAGGGGTTTGGATTATCTCTTTGGACGCTAGCATTAGCCAGTTCCAATGTGATTATAGTGTGAGAACATGATATTTAATTTTTCTTCTTTGGGTTCTATTTTCCTTAAAAATATATTTTAGATTAGTAAGTATTAAGAACATAGGATGCTTAGTCGACCACTTGGATATAAACATATTACACTATTACATTAATGTCTATAGCTTGTGAAATATGAATAGCTCTATATATGGAATAATAGAAATATGTATATATTTTTCATAAATATAGTTACATATATAAGTATTGCTTATATATTATCATTTCAATTAGTTAGGTTATGAGAGGACGGTTAGATAAGTTAAAAGACGATCATATTTAAAACTTAGATATTTACAAAATATATTCTTAAAAACTCGTAAACATCATGTTGAGGGAATTTCTGAAACTACAAGGTTGTTTAAGGCAATTGCGGATTGCGTAATGCGTATAATGAATTAATGGCTTTTTTTGTTTATTGCTTTGAGGAAATTGAGGCAGCTCATGTGGGTGGCAATCAGAAGGATTATATAGATTTGAGAGCCTTCTCTCTCTTCAAACATCCTTTAGCCCCAAGAGAGTTTCCACTGTACGAGTGAGAGTTCCTCTATTTAAATAGCCTTCATCAAGGCAATAGACAGCTACAAATTATTGAGTGAGAGTTTCTCTTCTCTCCTGATATATAGCCTAAAGCTCCCCAGAGATTTTTCAGAGAGAGAGAGAGTGTGTGAGGGAGGGAGGGAGGGGGGAGAGCGAGCGATAGAGAATCATGGTATCAAGAGAGCACAAGCAAGCTGTTCTGCATGAGAAGCTGCAACTTCTTCGTTCTGTTACTAATTCTCATGCAGTAATTTCCCAAAGTTTTCTCACTTATTTTGAATCAATATGAATAGTAGTCTATTAATTTCTCTAAGCATGTTATTATAGATTCTTAGGGGAGCATATGCTATAATCAATTTTATGTAGAGGTGATTCTTCGTTTCGTCTGTTAATATTTTTGGCCTAGGATCCCCTTTATTTATTTATTTCCTTCTTCCCGTGTCATTTGGGATCAGCATTTTTCATACATATCACTCATAAATTATTAGACTAATAACATAACTATGATTCTTAATAACATGGCTACGATTCAAGGTTCAATCTTTCATCTAGATTCTTCATTTACTTTTCAGTCAGCAAGAAGCTCTATCATATATCATATTTGAGGAACACAATTGTGGTCTGCAATTTTTTTTAATAATCATCCATGTATTTGGTTACAGGAGACGTATCGCTTGTAACTTCTTGTTTGATCCGTTCATTCCTTTAAAAGCAGATAAGATAAAGAAAGTTGATCCCTCATAGGGACAATGATTCAATATGTATCAAAATTCCTTGTATTAATTTTCCTACCTTTTGATTGTTACTCGTAGTTGTAAAGGATACTATGCTCATCCGTGCCCTCTCTTATCAAGGGTCGCTATATAAGCTTTTAGATTAAGTATTAGCTACTCTTTACTACAAAAGAAAGAGATCTTAAGAATTACATCAATCAATAATCATGTTAATGAGAATGAAAGACAAACACATTAAAAAAGGCGACAATTATTGACAAAATTCTTTGAAAACAGAGGAGACACACACATATATATATATAACGACTAAACTAAGGATATCAATCATTGAGTCCTAGCAAATGGAATCAGATAAAGTCCTTTAACAAATAATTCCATGATAAGAGTAAAAGAATGCATGGATTGATTAGGCCTGCGGAGTCCACAGTAAACAAAATATTTAAAAGAAAAGACACAAATTTTAGTCTTCATGGATTATAATATAAATATCAAAGATGTGTTTACACTCTTCATCGATCTTAATTATGTGATTAAGGCAATATATATTAAGTGATCTAACATTACCTCTTTTTTTCAGGTAAACAAAACTTCCATCATTATGGACGCATCAAAGTATATAGAAGAGTTGAAGCAGAAGGTTGAAAGACTGAATCAAGAAATTGCATATGAAGACAACACAAGCGAAGACGAAGATGACGCCTTGCCGGAGGTATGTACGTAATTAATTATTTTGGATTAATGATACATATCAACATTTTATTTTGTAGGTTTTTTCTCATACATAAGTGTACGTATATCTCTAAGCTCAATGATGGCCACATAAGAGTTACTGACAAAATGTTACATATCTCATATCATATCATCATCACTATGTTAATATTTTGTACATGTGATGCAGGTGACAGTAGAAACCCTAGAGAAAGGGTTTTTAATAAATGTTTTCTCAGAAAAGAGTTTCCCAGGTTTGCTTGTCTGTATTCTGGAGGTGTTTGAGGAGCTGGGCCTGAATGTGATTGAAGCTAGGGCTTCATGCACTGACACTTTTCGTCTTGAAGCAGTTGGAGGAGAAGTAAGAAGAATACTCAACCATTCATAAGTTTGACATATATAGCTGTTATCGTCTGTCTTTTTTTCCCCTTTTTTTCAACCCATGCACATTGAATGATAATATAATATATATATGAATATATATATATATATATATATATATATACATTATATATATATATATATATATATATATATATATAGTATATATATATGAGAAAAATGGTTTAATAGCTTCGGTGAGTTGAGGACATAATCTCCTCCACTGCATTCAAATGATTGCATATCCTCATGCACTCCTCACCCATGTGATGGGTTCCCCATTGAGATGCACTAGAGGCGGATTAATGCACCTCACTACTAGCATAAAATTTGTGCTTCGGCTCCAAAACATTTTAGCCAGGGAAGGAAGGAACCCATTATTAGGATATATATATAGAGACAATCTCTATATATCTTTAATGCTGCTGTGTGCTGCACACATTTGGTCCAAGCATACCATAGTAGGCACTCTTATTTTACTATATATGATATTAGTATATATTATATTATATATATATATATATATATAGATATATAGATATATATATATAGAGAGAGAGTGTGTGTGTGCACGCGCGCTCTCCTTTTTCTAATAAGAAGGATGAAAGTAGATGGAAAAAAAAAGATAAGAGTTGGCAAAAAAAACTTTAGGCCAGGGAAGAAAAATGTGTGATCAGTAGCAACTAGTTTTAGCCATAACAATGCCCATAATCATGAAAATATAACTACAAGTTTCCTGCTTATGTTCTGCTTAATGAAATATGGGTTCATATAATATTCCACCTTTTCATCGAAAATTTGAAAAGAGAGTTCTAATTTTATGGATAGAACAAAAACATTTGGCATCCAGCCATTATGCAATTATATATAGCGATTGTTTTCCTTCCTTTTCTAAACAAACTAAGAATCACTTATTGTGTTGTTATTATTTAATTACTTATTTATGCTCATATTACTACCATTTATCCTGTCATTATGCTTTTTTTTCTCTGTGAAGAATATGACGTAATTAAGTCACTTTTAAGAGAAAACTACTTTTAAGTGTACGTCCAGTGAAATTTGAATCAAGGTTGCTCTTATGACATCCCAGAACCTCTCCTCCTAATCTAGAACTTGAGAATATTAGCCTTCTTTATTATCCATATATCAATGACGGAGACTTTTGCTAAAAGAAAAGATTACCCCTACTTTTTTTAATAACTCTCTTAAAAATTATGATGGAGAAATATATATATAATAATTAGAAGACACACTCAGACATATATATACACATATAATCAACCTATGTATACGCATTTCATTATCCCATATTGAAAGCTATATATAACAAATAAATAAAGCATATATCCTTGTGGTTATTACTTAGTTAAGGAGTAGATCCTACTTTTCAAGTACACTAGTGTGCACCCCGTGCAAAGCTCGGCCGCTAGTTTTTTAAACACTACATTTTGAACTTGTCTCCCTCTAAGTTTTAATACATTTAATTTAATTATTACAAGTTTAAAATTAGATTCATATATACTCTTGTATACTGAAAGAAATATCCAAGTTTTAATACATTTGATTTAGAAATCATATATACTCCTCTATATTTAAAGAAGGATCCAAATTTTAATACATATGATTTAGAAATCATATCTACTCCTCTATACTTAAAAAAGAATCCAAGTTTTAGTATATTTGATTTGCTTTACTGTTTATAGTATAGTAATATTGTAGCATAAATAATAATTTCAAGTATGGAGCAACAGATTCAATTCACTATTTATGCTACAATAAACAGTAACTTCAAGTGCATATTATGCTACAGTATATACTTTTGCTGTAGTTTAAACAGTAACTTTTTGGTTTCTCTTTTTAAGTAAAGAGGAGTAGATAATGAGTGAGCTCAAGCTCACTGTACCATTTGTGCACATGAAGACACATACACGTGCAAGCACTCTATTGTAATCTTGGATTATGCACGCAGTATATTAACTCGTTTAATACTTATAACATCCATGCATCTCTGATAATTAATTAACAAATTTGCAGAATCAGAGCGAGAGCGTTGATGCACATGTAGTTAAACAAGCAGTGATGCAAGCTATCAGGAACTGCACTGAGAGTGATTGAGTATGAAAAAAAGCAAGTATATTTTCGTTTATAAATATGCTAGCGCAAGCTACCTATTAATTAATTTCCTTTGGAAACCTATATAATGTAATGGGTGTTGGAAATTTATCTTAATGAAAGGTTAACCCTCTCCCATGTATGCTCTGAAAATATAGATGTGCTTATCTGCATAATCCCTGGTGCTTTACATTTGCAAAAAATTAAGAACATTAATTATTATATAAAATTTCCACTAAAATAAAATTGATAACTGCATCCTTCTTATTAGTTCTTACCGGTGACTAGCAGGAATATTTTTAAAGGGGCCATATATATTAGTTTGCCAGCTTCACGAAACCAATTTTAGCCGAGACAATCTTGACTCAAAAGTTAGTTCTCAGTTCGGCAAAATTCAGGTTAATTGTTTTTTTAGTTCAAATTTGACTCTTAAACTAATTTTCTCTTGGACCATATATTCCTTGGCTAGACCTTTAAAAAAAACGAGTCCAAGGATTTTTTTTTTCGTTGCCAAACGTACAACTTTAGAGAATATATCATTCCTAAGAACATGATGTGTTTTGCAACTCCTCGAAATGGGGCCCAGGTTTATCATGATCCCATTTTGAGAAAAGTTGTGTTTATGGAAGAGGTGGACCTAGAGGAAATCAGTTTTAAAGGCCCTCTTCATTCATAAACTAGAAAACATAATTACAATACAAAGTTTAAGTAATAGATGGAAAAAGTCACGAAAGCGAGAACAAGAGAGTAGGGAGTAGATCTTGTCGTCACCTAAAGTCTGTTCAAGTCTTCAAAAAATTCCATCTGTTGGACCCATAGAACATACAAAACTAAGATTGTTTATGAGTTGGTGCTCCCGACTCTGACATAAATACAAACAAGCAAAGTCTTGGTGATAACTAGAAAAACAACAAAACAGAAATCCTTGATTAAGTTCAAACTAACTAGGGTTGCGATTGACGGTGAAAATTGTCACCTACTTGATCCTGAGCAGCATCCTGTTGTAGAGCTTCTAGGACTTATTCCTTGGTGATATTGCTTATCTCCTCAGCTTGCTTGCATCTTGAGTTCCCTAACCAGAATAGTATAAAACATGTCGCATTAGTTGCAATCCTTTGAGGCAAGATCTGATCTTCGTTAAAGGTAAGGTTATTTCGACTACACCATATGTACCAGCATAGTGTAGGAAATACCATGTTCCACAAAAATTTTCTATCTACCCTCTTTAATGAAGTTTTAATTTGATTGTAGTAAGGAGTCGAAGTTATTAGGCCATTGAGTTGAAGGGAAGAAGGAGAGGAGATAAGCCCAAACATCTTTAGAGAAGGAGCAAGAATAAAATAGGTAGCTATCTGACTCAATCTCGGTATGGCAAAAGGAGCAGATCATGACCTCTATCCTGGCCTCATGTGATAAATTCTCTTTTGTTTGGAGTCACATTTTGGAGATAATCCAGAAGAATATCTTCACCTTATAAGGGATGATAGAGTTCCATATGAAGGAACACTTACTAGATAAACAACCCCCACTATTAATTAAATTATAAGTTGACTTAACTGAGAATAAACCTGATTGTTGTAGGCTGTCTAAAAATTATTGCAGATAGTCGATCCCTATAAAATAACAAATGAAAGATATAATCTGACGCCATTCACATCAACAAGCGGAAGTTACAATCTAACGATTTCTGTAATGGTCGATGAAAGTTACAATGTGAAGACTTTCACAACAACGTGCGAGGATTACAAATTGATAACTCTCACATTCCACAAGGGCCAAGTGTAAAGATTACAATATAACAATCTACACGAAAGTCGAAGAAAAGAGATTATAATTGACGATATTCATAAATCCAAACACGGAATCCCTCTTCCGCGTCCCAGAAGCTCAAAATGCAGGGGTTACCCCACGTTGCCAAACTCAAACACAAGGGTCACCCTGCGCTTCTAAGGAAAAACGGGGTTTACCCTGTGTTGCCGAACTCAAACGTAGGGGTCACCCTGCGCTTTCAGATCCTAAACGCAAGGCTCACCCCATGTTCCAGATCCCAAACGCAGGGCTCGCCCCACGTTTCAGATCCCAAACACAGGGGTCAACCTAGGCTTCCAGAACCCAAATGCAAGGCCGCCCCACGTTCCAGATCCCAAACGTAGGGTTCGCCCCACATTCTAGATCCCAAACACAGAGTTCACCCCGTATTCCAGTTCCCAGATGCAGGGTTCACCCCGTGTCCTTTTCTCTAGAACGCGGCCCATGTGTTTTGACTCAGGAACAGTTTTCAAAACTATCCTGTTAAGGTATGGGCACAGTTAAGGGCCAGTTAAGGGGTGCCTTACCCCCTGATTTCCCTATATATATATATAGTTGGATCTCCAGCAAGAAAGTGGGGGCCAAAAAGAGAGAGGAGGCAGCAAACAAGAGAAGAGAGAGAGGGAGAAGGTCTTCTTGGAGAGTCTTCCTAGAGTTCTTGGCTTGGTCTTTAAACTCATTTTGGTTAGTACTCTTGGAGGTTCATCTTCTCTCTGAAATCAACTCTTTTTTAGAGTTCAAACTCGGCTAGAGTTCCCAACTTGTTCAACAAGTTCCCTTCAAACTCGCCTAGAGTTCATAACTTGCCCAGCGAGTCCCCCAAACTCGTGAAGAGTTTCAAACTTACCTTGCAAGTTCTCTTAAGACATCTGATCGGATCATTAACAGGATATAAGATTCAAGCTCCCATCGCCACAAAGAATAACTCAGCTTTAAATAAAGGGAGGGTTTCATCCTTCCCTCTTTTGTAAATCGGAAAACCGATCGAGAAGATTATAATTTCTTTTTCTAAGTTGTTAGAGGGAGATTACAATAAAAGATTGTATTCTTTTTTTTCCTAAATCAGTTAGGGAGATTAATATCAACTTCATCCTTAATTTTCTCGCAACTTTCCACACATACAAAAGATGGTGACTCCGCTAGGGATTAGATCTTTCACCAATGAAGAACTAGTGGTGCAATCCGACACCCAACTCTTCGGGACTACTGTTGAAGCTCTAACCGTGGAGTTTGACCAAGCCAAGTATGAGGAGTTTCTCTCCTCCGGGTCCCTTAGCTCCAAGGCTATGTGCAAGGCCCGTAAAGTCTCTAAAGAGACTAAAGATCCACCCATGGATGACCCATCAAAAGCGAGTCTCTCCCTTAGGTTGGACTGTTCAGACAGCCCATCCTTTGAAGGAGAAGACTTAGCTCCAATGGAACTCATCAATCAAGTTGAAGATCCTACATCCATGCCCAAACAATGGGTATTGGATCACAAAAGACCCATTGAAGTGGCAAAATTAATCTCTACGAAGGAAGATGCCTCTATAAAAGCCTTAAGATATGCCTAGAAGAATGCCACTCGTCAAAGAAGAAGATCCCATCGACGAGCAAAACTCTAAGAAAGCCGATTCTCCAATCAACGCGAACCTCACATTTGTGAGCCCAAACACAACTTTCATCTTTGCATTTGTGCTTCAAAGAGTGAGCTCCACATTTGTGTGCCCAAACATAAGCTTCGTCGAAGCTAGAACGAACGCAGCCCTCAGTGGTGCATTTTTCCATCAAAACACAGACCTCGAGACTGCATTGAACGCAGACCTCAGGTCTGTGTTACCCAGTCAGAACGCAAATCTCACGACCATGCAGAGCGTGGCCCTCGCATTGCCAAGCCTAAGTGAAGAGGCCAGCTCTGCATTGAGCGTGAGCATCATCTCCACGTAGCTCAACCAAAACGCGACCTTTGTGTTTTCTCTCCTTCACACGACCCCTACGTTTTAATGTTAAAACATGACCCTCGCGTTTCTAATGTTAAACTTAATGTGAGCTGTCGCGTACAAGGATATCAACATGGATTCAAGATCCTTAATTTTCAAGAGCCTACCTCGTCTAGCTACAGACAGGAGGTGTCGATCCAAGTCTCCCTTTCAATGAGTAACTCTTCTCAGAGCTATGTAACAGACTTGAGAGAGTTGCTATCGAAAGAAAAACCAGTTCAAGGAGTCACACATTTATGTCAATGTGAATGTTTCATTTTCGTGGTCCTCTTAGGATGCTAGTGCAGCTCACATTTGACCAAGCCATCGGTGTTCGACCGATTAACAAACGTCGCCTCGTCGAGGCCATACAAGCGACGACGTTCCCATAGGAAGAAGGCTTCAGAGGATGAATACCTTGGAGCCACTTCTAATGTGATCGGAATGAGGAGGTCACTAATCCCTAGCTCCGACGAGTCAGAAGAGGATCAATCTGATGGCTTGAAAGAGGCATTGAATGAATCTGATGGAATTTTCTGATGTACTCGGATGCGAAAAGGAGTCATACTCCCTGTTAACTACCGACGACTAGATAGAGGGATGAAGTCTAACGACGAACATTCAGCTATCACATAATCTCAATCCTCTAGCTCCTCTGTAAAACACGAGAGCCCCGTCTATATGGCTAAAAATTTTGAAGATCTCTCAAAGAGGATTGATGCATAGCAAGCCATTCTCTAAGTACAACAAGAAACCATTAATCAACTTCGGGATATGATGGCTCAGTTTATTATAGATAGAGCCAATTTCTAGAAAGCTAAGTCACAACCATAGCCGGAATCCTCCCGGAAAGGAGGATCGTCCATATCGAAGGGGAAACAAAGAGTGGATGAGCCTGCTGAGCAAGAAACTCATCACGTAGAATCATCCTCTGAAAAAGAAAATGAGATTGAGAATGAGCAAAACCCTCAATCTACTAAAATGGAGGAATTAGAAGCTCGCCTCAATGCCATTACAAATAGAAGTGAACTCCAAGAGTAAGGGATTGTTAGGCCCTATCCTATCGAATGGGATGCTGCTTCATATCCTCCAAAGTTCAAGATCCCGACCCTACAGGCTTTTGATAGCACGGGATCCCACAATTGTCATATCTATTACTTCAAGTCGTAGACTGGGAATGTGATAGCAAATAACGCGGGGCTAACTCGTTTATTCATTATCACCCTCAAAGGGATTGCCTTTGAATGGTTCATGAAACTACATGTGTGATCTATCCAGAAGTGGACAGACCTAGAAATAT